AATTTAAATTGACAAAAGATGTCACCTTTGTTGTGTGATGATTCCTCTGGAAGGTTACAACTGTGCGAGTGACTGATACACAGCTGAATGCCTGAGAGAGTTTACAGGCACAACAAGAGTAATCTCTCAAATAAGTCCTCACGTAGCGAAAGAGGTTAACATGAATTCGTCCGATGTGATGACTATAAACTGAAAAGAACGGGTTACAATTGTTCCTTGCCGCATAATTACAACTGATTTTTACTTCTTTTGTGGTCTGATGTCGGCACTGGTTTACATTTTTCATCCCGAATAACACGTTTTTCAAAGTCAAGTAGACAAATCGGAACATTTTTCTTTTGTGGAAGCCCAAACAAACAAGAGGCATGTTCACATAATCAACAACGCGAGAAAATTGAAAAGAGTATGATCGTGTCCAGCTGCCGGGCATTTAGTGACAGCGTATGATAAATGGTAAATAAAATACACATCATAACATACTGAACTGAAAGGAGTAGAGTCAGAGTAGGCAATAAATATCGGCTGAGAGAGACTCGTGATGAGCCTAAACATTGAAGGGAAGCGCAGGTTTTTACAATTAAGAAGACTGACGAGCGAAACGAGAAAAAAAATATATATATCGCCAAAAAAGAAAGACAGAATGAAGAGAAAGATGTATAGCTTAAAGCTGCGATATTGCGCCCATCTCAGTTAACGTCGTTGATTTCCACGCAGATGGAAATTTAATTCACACTACAACTAACCTGGCCCGTTTTACATCCCACGCATTTATCCTTCAAAATTCAATGACGCGGTAAAATTCTCAGAGGAAGTTTGACTTTATCGCGATGATTTACTTACAGTTCTCAGTTGTCCTTTATATCTGCCACGAGTGTGTTGCCCACTTTCCAAGACAAAATTGTCCAATAATTCTCGAAAAGCGGCAATCGTTGCGATAGTTCTCGATAGAAGAAACAAGAATATTGTTTCACGCTGCTTCTCTGAGAACAAATATAAATTCACAGAACGTGCCAGGGTAAATAAGGTACCACGTGAAAAGCCGGAAATCCTGGCGTACGAAGGACATATGATCAACAATGCGGTGATATGCGTAGCTATGTCACTGATCTAAGTCTCAAAATTGTGACTCATGCACATTCCAGCGTTCGTTAACTACGTTTGAAATTTTCAGTGTTCCTTCAAGCTACAAGGATAAAAACAATCTATTATCATTGTCTCATCCATTAAAGATTTTGCATGAACTTTTGAATAAATCAATATTTGGTTTCCTTGCCAAGCCAGATGCTTAGGAAAATTGTGACGCATTTCAGCGATAAGCCTTGCATAAACTTGTTTTTGAATTTTGTTCCGTTGGTCATAACTTCTTCAAAATTGATCAAACATCTTAAAAACTTCTCATTCACATCAGAACAATATCCTATAACCAATAAGTTAAAGAACCTTTAGGTGATTTTAATAACTGCTTTTTTTCGGCCGGCCTTTTTTCCACCTGAAGTTCAGTTACCCGAGGTTTTTTTTGAACACATCCGGCTATGACTTACCTTGTGAGGCAATAGATCAGGAAATCGGACATCTCTAAAAAACTTTCCTTGAATGAGAAAACTCACCCTTTCAGGAACAGGCAAGTTTGATTTTTATTTTCGTTACCAAAACAAAATCCAAAATGGTTGGAAAGAAGCCCTCATTCAGTGAGTATTGTAGCTACTAAGCTTAACAAAGAGGCGAATTCGCTAAGACGTGTTCATCACAGTCTTTCACTCATTGTTTTTAATGGTAATGGCCACAAATGGTCACAGAATGCGTAATCTAACAACGAAATCAGGATGAATGGATTTAACGTCATCGTGCACAATGTAGACTAAATGAAAAATTTCAAGAATTCTCTCGACATAATATGTCGAGAGCATAATCTGCACTCAGTCATCGAACTTCTTGTCGTGTCAATAAAGCGATAGGGTTGATATTATCACCATTTTAACAACGAATGAAATCAATGTCATCCAAAATCTTCACACAGAGTAAAAAAGGAGCACGTAAGGTCAACTGATCTGGACCATATTGCGTCAGCAGCGAAAAAACATTTCAACAACTGAGCACTGGTATGAAAACTAGTTCTGTCGTGTCATTTACTCCACAACTACAACTGAGGGTCACTGAGCACTATTCAGTTCAGGGTGACTCCCGTTAAAAGCATTTGAAATGAAAGGAATGGAATGAAATAGATAGAACAATCCAACACATGACATTCAACATGCTCCACCCCCCACAGGCACTCCTCCAAGAATTCAACCAATCTCACCAGTTCTTCGATCATCATGTCGACAATATTTCTGACATTGATGAGGGTCGTGTTCCTTTTTCATCAGTGAAGATTAAGTGATGTCAGACAAACACTCTTTTTACCGACAAAAAACCACCGTCTTTGGTGACTCCTTCTCTGGTGTTTCAATTTTATCGAACTAATCGAAGGCATAAGTCATTTAAGAGACGTGTCTGGTATCCTACTTTCCCCCCTCCCCAGCCCCCAGAGGTAATAGGGACTCGTGAATAAATTCCTCATTTCCAATCTTGAACGGTTTTTTCCGCATTATTACTCAGCAAGCCAACCTGCAGAGCATAACTCCACATTTGAGGTCAATATCACTAGCATATGTCATATTTGCTAGCGATATGTTTTACATCTTGTCAGACTACATTTTAAGCTTCAATTTCATTCCTTTTATAAGTACAGATGTACAGTATTGACCACGCCTCCATCTGTAAATAAAATTCCCGTCAGATGTAGCGACATAAACGTCCTTTATGAGGAATAACTCTCTCAGCGAAAAAATTGACTTCGACTCTGATTTACATTATTAGATTCTAACAAATTTTCTAGAATTTGATTTGATCACGTGTAAAAGGCAACACAACTTAAAGATGTGACGATCACCTAATCTCGCGCTGTTTTCAACAACCGCAGTTAATTCTATACAGTAGCTGGACTTACGACAGTTCCTTCCTGCATTTTAAACAGCACGTTCACATTTAACGCTTCCAGTTTGAATAATAAGTCAAAGCGAATACTAGTTAAGATAATACGATCAGCAAAAGAACCACTTCACCCATGAGAACGGCAGGAAGTATTAACCGTAGGCCTCTCACGGACTCTCTCATGGTGACGCGTTAGCCACAAGTTATCTCGCGTGAGAAGTGTGACGTGTGAACCAAATAAGAACACTCATTTATACTGGTCTGAATAAAGCTTGACAGAACTATTGCTGATACTATGGTGAGGACTATTAGAATGCGAAAATTGTTTACTTTTAGAACCAAGTTTGACGCAGGCGTGAATTCCGTTTTGTTAATCAACAAACGGAGCAGAATGATCACGTGATTCTTAGGAGTTCACTTTTCAAAAATTGAAGACATGACCATGAAGCGGGTATCTATGGGCGGCCGTCACCACCAAAAATAAAAGGATGTCAAATAGATCAGTAAATACAAAGATGGTTTAAGGATCAGCTGCAGGATAGCATAGCTAATAAAGGAATGGCATGGCCAAATTGTAGAGAGTCTAGGTTTCCTTCATGAAATAGAACAGCCTAAACATAAATAGTTTAACGAAATGATAAACGGTCTAGTTGCCCATGTCGAGTTGGAACATGAAATTGTGAAATGGAGCGGGTAAATTGCGAATAGTCTAGCGCTCATTTGCAATACAGTACACAAACGGTGTAGCTTTGTGTCAAATGACTCAGGTTAATACGGACTAGCGCAGCGTACGCANATAAATATAATTATTAAAAACTAGATCATTGGATAATGCAATTTAAGACTTCTTATTGGCTTAGCCATTATGGTATATCAGCCAATATACCATAATCTACAAATATGGCAAGCGTACGTGTCCGCTTAAAGTTAAAAGGGAGCTAAAAATTTAATAAAATGTAATAATTTAATTTAACGTTTTTAATAAAACAATTATTCCACTCGCGCTTGTTGGACATGAGATGATTGGACATGAGATGTTGGACATGAGGCTACGCGCCTCGAATTGTTTTGTATAATTTATCAGGGCACCCATTGATATCAGCAATTTCTGACGGGTTTACCCTTACTAAAGATGTAATTATTATTATTATCATTATTTTTGTTCTTAGTATGCCGCAGGGGTCACACGATCTTTCGTTAGCTGTACACAGTGGAGCCCCGCTAGCTCGAACTCCCACGAGAAACGAAAAATTATAGTTTGCAGGGCTTCGAGTTATTAGGATCGGTGTTAAATTTCAATCATCCTGTTTCTAACCAATAAGGGAACATGTTTTTTACCATTCTAGCACAATCAAAAGTTATTTTCGCACGTTTTTAGGAGCTTTTTTGTATAAGGAATTTGGGAAGTTGAGCCCCATATGTAATACGTTTTCATGTTGTCACGTTCGCATCAATTGTGATGAAGAATTGGAATGTGTCAGTCCGCTATGTGTCATGTTATCTGGGTAAATTTGAGTCAAGAAAAAGTAAAATTAGTTCGAGTTAACACGGGGTTTTAAGTTAGCTAATAGGGACAAATCCACGGGAAATCGAATCTTATTTGAGTCAGGAAGGGGTTCCAGTTTCCGGTTTCGAGTAAGCGGGGTTCTTATGTACACCGTATTTGACTCGCTCTAAAACGCTCTGAAACCAAAGCCGAAAATTCAAATGTTTTCTGTAGTATCGTTTGATGCTTTTATTTAGGGGTAGGTCGATACACTACTAAACGTGAGGAAAATCCAACAAATTCACTTAAACAGTTCTAGGGAGAACCCCTGGAGAGAGCCCTTTTAACTTCAACAGGACATTCTTACCTTTAAGCAATCAGCAGCTGCGCTCAGGGCTGGGACTGGAACTGGAATCTTTTTAACTAAGGGCTTCCATCGGTCACAACTTTCAACGGTTCGTTTTATTCCAGGCTGGTTTTATACATTTAACCAGCCGTAGGAAAAAAATATAAAAAAGGTTATCGATAAGACTACCTTGCAAACTAGGAAACTCGAGTGCTAAAAGCGGTTGTAAAACTGAACAGACCACAATGGAACTGAAGAAATGTAAAATAAGAAGCCAAATTTAACTATTCAAGTAGTTAAACATACAAAAAAAGGCAACAGCAATTGTAAAATGATTCTTCTACTTTAAAAAACGTCTTTGAAAAAACAAACAAATACAATAATTCGACCTGAATGGTTTGCTTTTTAGTGTTCACCTAATAGCAACATATCCATGCCGTCTTCTAAGCCGTAGAAGAAAAATACTGTGAAAAGGAGGAAAGCCAGAGGTTACCGCGAAGGACAACGACGAAACAGTGAACTGGCTGTATCAGGATGTAGTTCGTTTGTTAACAGTTGTTCGGTTTCCTTGTTTTCACTAATGGCCTACGCGCATCAACAGCTGAGCGACCACGAGAGACGGCAGCCATGATGTTGGCTTCATCTTTATCTCGTGTATCACCATCTAGTGGTGCGTCCATCTGTAACATATCAAACGAGTCACTAAAACAAACTCCTCTATTCGAAAACGAAGACCCTTTCTTAAAAGCCCGAATAAAGCCTGCTTAACCTTAGCAAGGCCCTAAAATATTCCGATCACTCCTTCGATGGGGATGTCTGTTCCAAATTTGGATTCATTGCATAGAAAAACAAATCGAAGAGCCGAAAGCAGTGGTGGCTGAAGAAAGAACAAGAAAAACCACGCGCGAACTCA